AGTAGCCATTCGAAATGCCTCTCCCTGCTCATACAAATATTTTGAATCCCCATTCAAAGTAAATTTTTCCTTTGGTGGTATCACATTTCGCTACTAATCGCCTGTTGCTAGATGTCAGAAAAATAACCGTAGGCCACCAGTTGTTTACATAAACGTTTTGACATAATTAAGTATGCATTTGAAATTCAGCTAAAGATGGATTTTTTTTTTTTTTTATTTCTTTTCCTATCTTTTTAGTCTATTTCTTTTTTAATTTAAATCATTTTCAATAGCCAGCTGCTGGTGTATATCTACAATAAAATTCATCGCAAATTGCCCTTACTCTTTAATAGGCAGCTGTCAACAGCGAGCTGCGTCACTTGTGACACCAGTACTAAAAAAAAACACCAGCAAAGCCTGTTTATCTACCTCTGCGTTTCACTCGCCAAAGTCAGTAGTAGACAGCGTTTCGTTTTTGATATGCTACAGTTGTTTTCCTTTTTTATTTTTACACGTCAACACTTCACCGACGATTCTTCTTTTGGTATTACACTTTTTAACCTTAGTTAATTTGTTAGGGCATAAGCTTGTGTAGCAGCTGTCAAGTCCTTAACACATAATCTTGGTGGAGAAAGAAAAATGCGTAAGCACTGAAAGTTTTATGCCGAAGGGAATTAAATTAATATGCTGAGGTTTCACTTCAGCTGGCGCCAAGCCTTAGTTTGTCATAGCAAAACGAGTGGATTAAGCCAATAACTGTTTAAATAGCTTAAGGTTTATAACGAAATGGATGGAGAATTTTATAGAAAGCTTGCAATCCCGGCAATGTTGCTAAGTCCGACTTAATCTATGTTCTGGTTTTGGCCCATATCAATTTGAATTTCAGAATTAAGTTAAATCGCGTTTGCTGCTAGTATTTCAATTGCATACTCACATACGAAAACGCACACCCCATATTTGAGCAAATCTCATAAGTTTTTTTTTAGTCTCGCTTTCTTCTCTCACCAGAAAAAAAAAACGTTAAAGCATTCTTTTTGTATTTATTTCAATCAATGGAGTCCCAGAAACAAGTAGAACAAAAATAAATCAAGTATTTGAACATTTTTAGACTTAAAACGTTTATTTAGGCGATAAAGTACCGAAATTACTATTTTTTTCATTGTCACTTGAAAAAATCATAATTGTTTTTTTTTTTGTTTAATAACTTTGGGTAGTTTTCAAAGAGAGTGTTCATATTAGAGGCAGTGCACTTTGGCATCATATGCAACACACGTGTGAAGTTTCAAGAGTGTCCCACCAAATTAAAAAACCGGGCAGCATGCAGAAATCTGTCGCAGCTTTTTTTTAATTTTTGGAATTTTACGATTTCTTTAATTTTAGTAATGTAAGATACTTCAAAGTGTTAAAATTAAATGGCGATTTTTTTTGCTTGCCAAAGCGAAGGAGCCTAGTGTAATAAAACTAGTGAGCCACCAAATGAAAAAAATACGTTGAGTAAAAGATGACTTTGATCTGAGAAACTAAAATTTCATCCTAAATTGTTATATTCGTGAATAAAGTAATATATATGTACATATGCATATAAGGAATATGTACTGTGTAAAAATCTTAAACGCTTATTTAATCATTTTTAAATAATAAGGCTTTTAAGTTAAGGCGTGCGAGTAAACGAGTTAGATGAGTGCACCAGCCCATATGTACATACGTTACATAAGCGAGTGGTTATTTTTACTTGTTTTAGTATATTTTACTTTATTTAGTATTTTTATAAGTACGGCAATAAATTCTCTAAAAAAAATTAGCCTAAATTTGGTTGTCTTAGAGACGATTTTAAAACTGTAATACAAAATTTTCCAAATGGGAGAGTTTTCTTCTCATTAAATAGCTCCTTTTAAGGCCATAAATTCGTTAGGTTAGTTTTTTTTTTGGCCACCCTAATGTACGTACTACATGCTCGTAAATTGGAAAAAGAACTAAACCAAAAATCTACTGCAAAATAATTCTTTTTACTGCGTTTTTTTAACTCACTACGGTTTAGGAATTTGCAAGTCCGAACTCTGTCATGCTCTAACAATTTTCTAATGAATCATTCCAAAGATTCTACGTAGGGTCGGTCTACAGTCGATGGGCAACGCTGGACGAGGACCAGCTTCGGGTATCCGAACCGGAGGAGGAGGACAATGACATCACAGTCATTGCCACCGCCGAGCGGAGGGAGCTAGAAGCAATGGACATAACCGATTCTGAGGAAGGTGCAGATCCTACAAATTAATCTGCGCCACTCCAAGGCAGCCTCGGCTGCTCTCCTTCTTCGCCTCGAGCGATAAAGCTGAGGACTNAAGTTTCAAGAGTGTCCCACCAAATTAAAAAACCGGGCAGCATGCAGAAATCTGTCGCAGCTTTTTTTTAATTTTTGGAATTTTACGATTTCTTTAATTTTAGTAATGTAAGATACTTCAAAGTGTTAAAATTAAATGGCGATTTTTTTTGCTTGCCAAAGCGAAGGAGCCTAGTGTAATAAAACTAGTGAGCCACCAAATGAAAAAAATACGTTGAGTAAAAGATGACTTTGATCTGAGAAACTAAAATTTCATCCTAAATTGTTATATTCGTGAATAAAGTAATATATATGTACATATGCATATAAGGAATATGTACTGTGTAAAAATCTTAAACGCTTATTTAATCATTTTTAAATAATAAGGCTTTTAAGTTAAGGCGTGCGAGTAAACGAGTTAGATGAGTGCACCAGCCCATATGTACATACGTTACATAAGCGAGTGGTTATTTTTACTTGTTTTAGTATATTTTACTTTATTTAGTATTTTTATAAGTACGGCAATAAATTCTCTAAAAAAAATTAGCCTAAATTTGGTTGTCTTAGAGACGATTTTAAAACTGTAATACAAAATTTTCCAAATGGGAGAGTTTTCTTCTCATTAAATAGCTCCTTTTAAGGCCATAAATTCGTTAGGTTAGTTTTTTTTTTGGCCACCCTAATGTACGTACTACATGCTCGTAAATTGGAAAAAGAACTAAACCAAAAATCTACTGCAAAATAATTCTTTTTACTGCGTTTTTTTAACTCACTACGGTTTAGGAATTTGCAAGTCCGAACTCTGTCATGCTCTAACAATTTTCTAATGAATCATTCCAAAGATTCTACGTAGGGTCGGTCTACAGTCGATGGGCAACGCTGGACGAGGACCAGCTTCGGGTATCCGAACCGGAGGAGGAGGACAATGACATCACAGTCATTGCCACCGCCGAGCGGAGGGAGCTAGAAGCAATGGACATAACCGATTCTGAGGAAGGTGCAGATCCTACAAATTAATCTGCGCCACTCCAAGGCAGCCTCGGCTGCTCTCCTTCTTCGCCTCGAGCGATAAAGCTGAGGACTTGATTCTAGTCCAAGAACCTTGGATCGTCAGAAACAAGGTTTGCGGACTGAACTCTGATGCCTACCAGGTGGTAACAGCTCCAGTAATAGGTAGGATGAGAGCTTGCATTCTAATTAAAAAAGTATATTCTCATTTTTTACTCTCCCAATGCAGCGACGGGGACACTGTCTGCATCAGCGTACAGCTGAAGGAGAGCGTTATCTGGCTGGCATCAACCTACATGGCCCACGACAGCCATGCTTTTCCACCCTATAGACTGGAAGAAGCGGCGGTGAAGGNCGTAATGCTGCTTTCAAAGCCTCCTGCCCAAGCACCCTCCCGAAGGGGAAAAAGAAACCACAGTGGTGGAATCCTGAGATTTCAGCACTGAGGAAGAACAGCAGGAGGCTTTTCAATCATGCTAAGCAAACAGGTCTTTGGCAACCATACAAAGACGCACTCAAAATTTTCAAGAAGGCCATAAAGAGGGCGAAACGCGAATCTTGGCAAAACTTCTGCAATAACATAGAAGAGAACTCTGAAGCTGAGGAAAGATCTCTCGAAATCCTCTTCAAGTATGAACTCTATCCAGAAGCCTAACGGTGACTGGACGACATCATGTAGCGAAATGCTGGAGGTCCTTATGAGCACTCACTTCCCGGGCTGCTCNGGGTGATACCGTTAGGGACGTCGTAAGTGAGGAGAGGGTGGAATGGGCTTTAATGTCCTTCCAGCCCTACAAATCTCCGGGCCTTGACGGAATTTTTCCCGCTCAACTACAAGAAGCTAAGGACATACTGTGCCCCCTGCTTTCTCAGATTTTTACATCCTGCCTAACCCTGACTCACATACCACATGAGTGGACAAAGGCAAAAGCTGTATTCTTACCAAAAGGAGCCAAGGCCGCACTTGTGAAACCGAAGGATTTCAGGCCTATAAGCCTCACTTCATTCTTCCTTAAAACTCCAGAGAGGCTCATCGACGAATATATTCGACGGAATATAAAAAATTACATCCTCTCCCCGAACCAACATGCATATTCCAAAGGAAAATCCGTGGATACCGCATCAATTAAATTGATAAAATAATTGAACTTTTACTATACGGTTATCAAGTAACTCAAAAATACTTTTAAGGCGCAATGAAGCACGCTGGGTATTTGCTAGGGTTTTCATAAAAGTCTAGCTCATTATATAACAAACACCATATAAATCCACATTTCAAACTTTATGCAAAAATTATAAAAATTTTCAACTTTTTATTCAGATTTTTTGAAAATTTTTTGAGTATGCAGCTTAAAAGCCAATTAAATTCTAGTGTCATAAAGTGCAGGTTTTAAGTTGCTAAAAACTTGCGTTAATAATTTTTTTCTGACTATATTACGCACTTTTTTCCATACAAAAAAATTGTTAAGGTTCGGCGAAACTTCGAATGCAAAAAAACTTCGAAGCATCAATATCCAAAGCAAAGATACCACACGAGCGCATATATCACACTCCACACGAAATACCATGAAAAATATCTTCTATTTATTTATACAGACAATAATATTATTTCCAAGACAAAAGCTAATTTACTAGGTAATCATATATTTATATGATTGTATGTATGTATGTATGTATAATTGAAATCGATACTCACAGTCCCTGCAGCAGACGTAAAGGACAAAATGTATGCGCTCGCAGCACCGTCAAATGATTACCGGCTAAAAATCTGCAAGGAAAAAAATAAAAATCAAATAAAACAATAAAAAGGCGAATATATTTTGTGTCAAGCAGATATGGATTACAGGATCGAAGAAAACGCTACCTAAAAAATTAAAGGTACTTATAAACACAAGATGTAAATGTTAAGCTATATATTTGTAAACTGAACATATAAAATTGACGGTGATAAGTGGGTATAATCTTTCATAATCCTTTAAGAGAGGGGATTAAAAATATGCGCGGTAAAAAGTAGAGAATGGTAAAAGAGGGCAAGAAAACCTCGAACAATAAAAAGTTAACATTCACCTAAGCTCGTAAAAAAACGTTTTTATTGCTCCAATTTCTATTTGCATATTTTTAAATGAAATAACCGTTGCCCACTTTTTGCTCAATAAAGTGTAAATTCTAGGGTTCGGGCTTTATGTAGCAAGAAACTTATGTCCAGTTTTAAAAGATGTCAATTTTTTCAATGGCCAAATATTTTTTTTTCTATTTTATATGGTACCAAAATACTTAAAACATTAAAAGATTATGTCCACGTTTTAAGTGATCATAAATTTATGTCCAGGTTTTAGTTACCTAATTCTTAAATTAGAAGAAATGTACATCGAGTTTTTTTAGTGACCACAATTTTTTGTCTAATTTTCAAAAAACCAAAAAAAAAATGGTTCGTTTTTCTATGATAAAAAGTTTGTACCCTGTTTTTATATTACAAAAAACCAACCAAAAGTTTGAATTAGCAAAAAATACGTTTGGTGGTACAATTCTCAAAAAGTATTAAAAAATTATGTCCAGTTTTTATAATATTAAAATATTTTAAATGGCCAAAAATGATATCAAGTGTAAAAGTTACCACAAAATTCTTTCCAATTTTTGAATTATTAAAAAATTCACGTTCACATTTTTATACCAAAGTTTGGTTGACCAAAAATTTAAATGTCCAAAAATTATGTTCAGTTTTTTGTGGCCATAAACTAGTATGTAATGGCTTAAAAATGATGTCCAATCGTTAAGTGATCAAAACTTTATTTCCATTTTTCAAATCAGCCAAAATTTATGTTCAGGTTGCACTCGCACTATTGTCATCGATGGGGAAATATTACAGTACGCATTAAAGTAAATTGTGTAAAAAGTTGTAAATCGATTTTCGTTGGTCATTGCGGCACATAAAGCTGTCGAAATTTGACATTTTTATGCAACTGCGAATGCGAAACGCTCGTAAACACCAAGTTATCTGCATGTTAGAGCAGTTTCCGCAATACACAAACACATGGCTTTGTTTGCAATTGTTATATTAAATGTATCCATACTAAACTCCGGTGGCAGCTGCATTAATTTTACAATACACAACAACAACAATTTGCCGCTTTCCACGCTTTCGTCTTGAGCGAGTGCGAGTATTAATTTTACAACACTTTGCGCAAATTTCCGGTGAATGGCTGTGTTTTGAATAGCATTTTTGGCAGAAGGGTGTTTTGGCACAAAGTTTGTCGTGCGTATAAGCAAAATGTACTAACCGACAATAACTGAATCGGGAGATAAAATATGCGCGCAATCATAGCTACATACGTATATATGTATTTACGTTTAAATTTGTATTTCCAACGACGCATGTAAGTGCATGTGTACTTTGGTTGTATGTGCATGGAAGCATGAAAGGATTTTGTTGGGGGGGGAGGCGTGAAAATTTCGGAAAAACAGATTTGCATATGTTGTCGAAATGTAAACGCGTGCACGCATATACATATACACTTACACGCAAACAAAAATTCGCACATATGTTATGCGACTCAAATATAACATTTTGTGTGCTTAAGCGAGTTATTTCACTCTAATCCCCTTCTACGCGAATGCACTAGTATGCACCCCATGCCTGCCGCTTTGCCCCCCATAGCTTAATAATATTTTCGTAAATATACTTACAAATGCAATAACCGCGGGAATGTAAACGAATTCCGTTCGATGTCGACGATGCGATTGTGCGCCAGCGATAGCGTATGCAGCTTTGTGAGTAGAGGAAACATGCCCGGACGGATTTGATGGATGTGATTCTCATTAAGGTAGCTAGACGAGAGAAGAAAGAGCGATATTACAATATTAATATGATTTACAGCGGAAGATTATTTTACGAAAAGCGCAAAGTGTAAGGTAAATATTTAAGACTAACTCAATTGCTTCCGGTGTGAATATTTTTAAGTTAATTGTTTGAATTTTGCAAAAAATCACACACTAATTATTTGCAGCAATTTTTGAAGATTTGGTAGTTTTTATGATATGGCAACTCTAATTATCGGCCTTTAGCTGAAAAAGTAGAGCATTTTTCATTTTACATAGTTCTTCGAAGCTTTTAATGCAAGTGCTGGAAGCACTCAAAATTGGTGTTTTCAACATTTTGTTTGCATTTTGAAAAAAAAATAATTCTCAATTTTTTAATTGTTCTTACGTTTTGGAACAACAATGCCCACTTTTCAAGAGAAACCCTCAAAATATTATATAAATTATTTTTGTTGAAAAAAATACCATGGCAACCCCAAAAAATTTTTTTTATTAAATTTTATATTTTCGAGCACTCCTGTCCTTTTAAATTAACAACTAACACGAATGAAAAATTTATCAAAATTTCAACCCTATTATCCAACTTTCAAAATTTGCATCTATAAATCATTTGCTTCACAATGTTTAAAAAATGTGGCAAATTATTACAAGTAGTTACGTATGTCGAATAATATTATTATTAATACATGGCAACTCTATTCAACATTTTTAAACGTTATTTAATCTTTTTTCTGATTTTTAGTAAATAACATTTTTTTTGGACTTCAACTGCCGGTTTCGCCACCAATTTTAGTAATTAATTATATACTCTTCTCTGTCATTTTTCATAGATATTAAATTCAAATAAAAGTATACTTTTTCACTAAATTTCTGTGAATGTCAATTTTATTATTTTTTGTTTTGTTTTATAATTCACAAAGCAACTCGCCTACCTAAAAGTTAAGATGCCATTGGAGAATACATATTAAGTAATTTCTTTGTATATTAACTTTGAAATTTCATGAAATTATCGAGACATGGCAACACTTTTTATTTTTATTTTTATCAGATTTTAGATAAGGCTGGAGATTTAACTTCATTGTTATATTTTTCATGGTAAACCACATGGTAACTCTGCAAAATGTATACCATATTTTTATGGTTCCCATTTATTAATCTAATTTAGCAAATATTTAATACATATTTATAACTGGTAAGTTTTTATATCGGAATAGTTCATTTATCTCCGTTGCAGCACAAGTATCTTTTATAATTGGTCACATCATGTAATTTAACGACATGGCTTACATGCTTTGCCACGAAAATTTGTGTTTAATACTAAATTATTATAAACTCTGTGGCAACTCGGAACAAAATTATACCACAATGGTTTCATTCCAAGAAATTCTAGTGAATAAATTGTCAAAAAAAAAATCGTTTTCTTTTAATTATTAATTCATTTTGACAGCTCGAAAAATTTGGTGGCAACACTAGTACCAGAAAGCGTTGAAAATTTGTAGACTGAAAATAATTTTTATAGTTCTTCACGGAATTTAATTTAAGACATTTTTTCCATTAACTATGTTTTACTTTTAAAATACACTTCTTTAAAAATATTTGTTATACAAAATAATTGAAATATGCAAGGGGCTCAGTTGCGAAAGCTTTTACTGCCTTTTTTTAATTTTTTTGTATAGACCTAATTTAATCAAATTCAAATTTTAATTGTTCGAAACATTTGGTGGCAACTCTAAATAGTAGGAAATAGTACAAAAAAGGATTGAAAATTTGTAGCTTTAAAATAATAATTTTTATAGTTTTCCACTACAATTAGTTTGTAATTATTAAGACATTTTTTGCCATTAATTTATTTTTTACTTTTAAACTCGACTTTGTTTTAAAAAATTGTTATACAAATAAATAGAAATGTTCAAGGGGCTCAGTAGCGAAAGCTTCTACTGCCAACAAAATATACCTTTTTTGAGTGTTTTGCATCCACCTAATTTAATCAAATTCTATGAAGTATTACTGTGTACAATGTCATCTCCTTATTCGAATGAAACTTTTCCGTATTTATGCAAATTTCCCTCCATATAATCCCCACACTACCTCAGCTACTCTTTCCCTTTAGCGCATAATTTACGTGTCATTAAAAAAGCATATTCCGCCTGCGTGTAAACCCAATTTATCTCCTTTGCAAATAAATGACTATTTTAAATTATGCAAACGCACAAACTTCGTCATTACGTATACGCCATGGCAATCCATTGACAAACACGGCACACACACATACTTCCATACATATGTATGTATGAAGCAGCCTTGCGACCTTCGCGCGTTAGACACCAAACAATCGACAGTCAATATTAAAATATTTGTGTGCGTTACTCGCTGCAATTAAACGATAATTAAATTGAAGTGCTTTGTTTTTATTTAGTTACATATTTTGTGTGAGTTGCATAAATCCGGTTCATAAATCAGTAGCGGCAAAAGGGTTTGAGCAAGCGTGGCTTCTCTTTTTCGTGTGTGTACTGTGGACATTTTTTGTATCCAACGTAAAATTGAAACCACAAATTGAATTTTTACTTTGCTGTGCCTAAAAGTATACAATTATGTCTTCATCAATCACGTTAATCAATGAAAGCCAAATGTACATATCTTTTAGCATTTAATAGAGTGACAATTATTCGAAACCCGTGCAAGTCAATAAGAGCAAATGACTAATCGTTTGCCTTTGGTTTTCCTTCTAAGCGAAACTATAGCTGTGCGTCTAAAAAATGCGCTACAAGCCGCTTGACACGAATATTCCATTTAAATGATTTGAAGGTTGGCATTGAGCTCAAATTTATTATCCATATCGGAATAGGCACCAACTTTTGATATACTTAATTTGTAGAAAAAATAAACTTTTTGATACTCAAGGACTAAATGGCAATTGCTAAATATTGAAATTAACCGTCTTTAGAACAAAAATAATACAAATACCAAAAATTAAACAAAAAAACAAAAAAACGACTTTAATGCCCATTTAAAAATTTAGGAGTACCGTTAGTTTCTTCATGATTTAATAATCGGAACTAAACCAAATTAATAATAAAGATTTATCGAAAACGGTTCACGTGATCCAAAGTTATCCGGCAACATATGTATATAACCAAAAAAAAATATATATGTTACGAAGAATTGATAACCGCCCTTTTTCTAGACGGTTAAAAATCTGGAGTTGCCATATAATTTAATTACAATTAGGGAGGATAAAGGGAAGTCTGAATTGAACGCTTTGAAAGCTATTTATGCTAAAAATATTTTCCGAATAATATATAATATTAAATAGGTGAAAATACATTATAAAATCGGACTAGAAAAAGGGTGCATAGAATAATTTATAGCAGAATAGGCCTTCAGTCGAGTAGGCTTCTCACATTGTGTGCGTGAGGTTGCCGTTCATTCGAAAAAAGCTCAGAAATTTTAAGCATGCTATATGTTTGCATTACGATTTACAACAATTTTAGGTAATGCCAGCAGAACAAAAGCTTGATATATTATTGATGTTCATTCAAAAGAATTCCTAAAGAGAATATAAATTTTATTGTATATTATGCTACCTTCGGTCATGACTGCAGACCAGCGCAGGCATTTTCACTGTATGAAAACTATCTAAAATAAAACCGGTTTATCCGGTTCTTTCTTAATTTCAAAATCGGGAATCAGTTTTTAAAATTTAAATTTTTCGAATAACTCGAAAACGGATTTTGGGTAAAAGGCGAATGATCCAAAACCCTAGAGAATACTTGAAGCTTCGATCCACTGGGCCCCGCTTTCTGTGTTTTCTTTTTTTTTTTCTTTATCAAGGGCCTATAATTTTTTATATTCTTTATAAAAGGTTTTTATATAAGAGTTTTCTGATAGGAAACGTAAATTTTTAGAAATTCGTATTTTTTTAATTATATGCATAGATATGTTTTTTTTTTTTTGTGAGGCCAGTCAGATGGTCACAAAAAAACTTTAAAATTTATTTACAAGAAGAGAAACCTTTAGTAATTGGCACTGGTGGCTATTCTTGGAAACTCACTTAATTATGGCCATCTACTCGGAAGTACTCATTTTAAAGATTAAGTAGGCAATAAACGATACTTAACGGCCTTAGCTTCCGCATGCTAACGTTGCTAAGCTGTGCGTGCTCTAAGGCAGGCTAATCTCCGCCCGTTCTCTCATTTCAGCTATATTTTTTTTCCATTATTTCTATTTTGAAATTTTCACCTTTTCTTTCCCCATTTTTTCTCTTTTTTTTGATTTTGTTTCCGCCTCTCTTTTTTAATATAAGCATGTATCACATATTATTAAATTTTTAAGTCGTTTTTACTTACAGCACTTGAAGGTTCTGCAGCTCTTCAAAGACTTTCGCTTCAAATGTTTCAATGCGATTGCCACGCAGGTCTCTGTAAGTAAATAGAGCACCAAAAAATTTTAGCTCATAAGTTGAGAATGCGATTTCTTTTAAGTTTAAAAGAATTATTAAGTACTAAGTACTCATATTTGTAAGTCAGTAAGTCCAATTATGTTTGTATGTATGGATGGATGTGCGTTCCTTTGTATGAGCGTAATGCACCTAAATAGTTGCTTCGGATATCAGTTCCTGAAAGCGATTGGAATTTTAAGCTCAGTTGATTCCTTACAAACAGCGATGTAGTTATACATATTTTTAAAGAAATTTCTATAATAACACTTTTTTACTTTTTTCTTTGATATTTCGTTCATAAAAGTTTTCATGATTATGTTTTAGAGTAATTTTTGTTTAACTTCAGTTACATTGGAATTTCAATGCAATTGCCGTGGTTACATTTAATAAAATTAACTTGACTTTTACTTACAGTTCCGTTAAGCCATCCAAATGCTGAAAATCATATTTGTGAAGTTCTTTAATGCGGTTGCCAGAGAGGATTCTGAAAATCAAACAAAATGTTTGTAAAAATACTTTGTTAAACCAAATACTTTTTTTTTTAATTTCCCATACATAAATTTATTTTTTATTGAAAAATAAGGGCAACTAGTTTTTCAATGCTCAAACTGTTAATCACCCTGAGATAGAAAAAATAGGTTAAAAAATTATTTTTTTCCAACGCATATATGAAATGTATAAAAAAAAGTTCTTTTTTGACATACATACATAAATCACATATTTAAGAATAATTTCCAAAAAATTAAAATTTAAGAAACTAAAAATATGAATGAGGTATGAGTCATCCATTAGCCCCCTTCTGTCAAGATGGTGTACAAGAAGAAGATGGTATATAGAAAAAATTTATTTTTTTTTTGCAAAAATGGCAGTTGTTTGACGAAAACGATATAACTTTCAGAACTTTCAGTTAAATAAATTCATTGCTTAAGAACAGTACATCCAATCAAAAAATCCCTATGCAATCGGTCTACTAGATCTTCTGTTTGAAAAAAGAGTTTGGAGAAAAGAGCAAAAAAAGTACCGCCATTGAGTGCTCTCTGCCACTCCTACTTCTAACCATGATAAAAATATAGTAAGGTAGAACCGCTGAGAGGAATTTTTCAAATTCTTGACGTTTCCAAACAATTTAATTTTTAAATTTACTCGCAAACTCACACACACTTTTTCATTTTCAATCTCAAGCAACAACCATTTCGAACAATTTCATTTTTTTCTTTCCACTTTTATATGATTTTAAAATGTTGGCAAACTTCAAAAAAAAAATCATGGCCGACAAATTGAGAGAACGGTTCTACCTTGCTATATTTTTATCATGCTTCTAACTGCTGTAACTTCTGAATATTTTGAATGCGGAACGGCGAAGCGCTTAAGATATTTTCAAGATCATGTAGAAATCTTTTAGCGGAGAAAAAATTTTGTTCTTTGGTTTTTTTTTACAGTGATGTAACACGTTAAATTTCCGAATTTATTATTTTTTTTTTAGCTTTTGAAGTCTTAATTTAAAATTGAAAAATTTTGTAAAACAAAGGTACTTCTTATTTGAAAAATTACAAAACTTTTATATTGTAATGATTTTTTCGAAATTCTCAAAAAAAACTTGAAATAAGTAATTTGCCTCCTAATTAAGTTTTTACATAAACATATGCATATGTAACTTGTTTTACATGAATAAAGAAAACTCGAAATTTTTCGCAAATTCCATAACTTTTTCTTTTTAAAAAAGTCTACCTCACGAAACTCCAAATAAATGGAGTAATTTTTTGGAAGTGCCATTGTTTGTTTTTATCTCTCGAAACTCTCAAGACAAATTTTTAGAATTAAAAACATATTTATATTAAGAGACAACTTATTGAAATTTTCCAAGAAATTCGTAATTCAATTCTCTTTTGGGCAAAGCGAGCCTCGTAAGTCTTATATATTTATGTGCATAAAATAAATAATTCTCAAAAAAACAAAGCAATACGAAAGTTGTATTTACATAAATATTTAAAACTAAGACCCAAAGCAGTTTTCCAAAAGAATTTCAAAAGTTTCTATAATTTAAAAAAATTTAAAAGTCACTTAAAATTAAGATAAAATTTTGTCATAAATTATAACTTTTTTTATTTACGAACTATTTTTCGAAAAGTATTCATTAAACTCAAATTCTAAAAATACAGCCATAAAAACATGAGAAAAGTTAGAATATTAATTAAGCAAATTTTTAGATTACGATTAGGAAATCAAAAAATCGAAATTTAATGAAATCGTTTTTAAGTTTAAAAAAAAAATTCAACTGTTAAACTTTCTCTCCACTTTTGAAAGTGTGCTCCATTCAAAAATGCATGGATTATAGTTTTTAGTTTTTAGTTTTTTACATCCTTTACTTTTTCGGCCCAGCAGCCCCGTTGGAAACTTATTAGCACAGGAAATAAATTACTGAAAATTCAAAATTTTGGCAACAATGCCTGGCCACAACGAATTTCGCGGCTTAACTCAACTTTACAACAATACTATCACAAGTTTTACAAAATTTTACATCCGCGTCATACCGATTCACTGCAGATGAGTGCAGCTGTCCATCAAGTTCATAAACTAAATGCCACTACAATTGTGCGTCAAACAATGGCAGCAGTAGCAAGCAGCAGCAGCAGCTAGTCGCCCAGCTTCTACCACCAGAACAGCCAAACAATTGGGCCCACACCTTCTACTTTAACCACCTCGAATGTTTGACGCCACCGCAGCGGAGGCAGTTCATTCCACAAACAATATAAATCCGGCGCATGGAGCGTAACAGCCAACAACACTTCCTCAAAATTAAGTTTCTCAGCTCGAGTATGCAAAGGCGTAGGATAACTGAACTGCATAAACATACAAAATCAACAAAGCAAAATTTTCAGCTATTCAGCTGAGACTGCCGAATGACTCTCAAGCAAATAATGGGCATGTCAGGCCATTATAATTATGACTTAGGCAAATTGTGTGGCTTTTGTCAGGGAATCTGTAATGTGTAGGTTGTTATTTCGACGCCTAGGAGAGCGTTCATACATACACATGTACATCCACGCCCCTTATTAAGGCACGAATTGAGTGAAAGTTGTTACCAGCCGCAGTTTGTACAATATTTTATGTAAAAAAATCTAGTTACTTTCTGCATAATTAGTACTTTTGCGCTCGAAGCTCATGAGCAGTTGTTTGGTAGTGTTTCAGTGTGCCAGTGCGTATGAGCGACATTCATGCCATTTGCCTGGCAAAAGTAACAAATATTAGATACGGAACTTTATTCCTTAACAAAGTAATAATGAGTTGCGTATTTATTAGCATCCATGCACGTGCATGTAGAATTTTAAAATTATTATTCCGGCTGCATATGAATTAAGTTAGTAGAGTGAGTTAATAGAAGAATAGAGCCTCGACAAGGACAAATTTTTATGGACGACAGGGACTGCGCTTTGCGATTAATTAAAGAGTTTATATTTCTAAATATATATCATCAGAAACTACTGAAAATTCGCTCTTTGAAATACATTTCGCAAGTTTTATACTGTACGAAATAAATAAATAAATTGTTTAAAGTTTCATAAATTGCATTTTATTTACATAAAATTCACAAAGAACTCAAACATTTTCAACCGGCTTCAAAAAAGGGGCGGTTATCAATTCTTCGGAGTATTTTTTCTGCTTTTATGTATTCCACCGTATAACTTTGAACCGATGAACCGATTCCAATAATTGTTTTTTTTTTTTTTTTACCGGAAAATGGTACCTTAAGCGTCTCGTAATTTGGTTTAGATCCGAACATTAAATCATGAAAAAAGTAACGGTACTAATAAATTTATATATGAGAATTGAATTGCTTAGAAATTACTTGTTTAATTAAAAGTTTTAAAAACACAAGATGCACTCAACTTTCAAAAGTAATAAAAAAATTTAGAAAAGAATTTTAATATAAATAAATTAAGTAATTCAATGAACTTTTTACACTTTTATATTCATTTTCGCCGATTTCTGGTTTATAGTTTTTTTTTTAATACTTCGAATAACGAAAATTTAACTGAACTTGTATTTCAACCATGTAGCTCATTTTGGTGGATCGAATTCCAAGTTAGCAAATTAAATCTTCGAATGCTTGTTAAGTACGTATCAGTGGTAAACTTTTTTTAGGCTGTAAAGTGTAAAAAGCAACAGTAAGTGAGTATGCATTGCATATTATTAGGACAATGTTTTCATTCGCAGTTAAACTTTAAAGAGCTCTAAAGAAAAAAGAAAATTTCTTACAAAATGACGCACAAGGAATGGAAAAGATATTTTCTTCTATACAAATTTCTTAAATCATAATAAATTTAACCCCAAAACCCATCCCATTTGTGCGCTACTTGACAAATTTGGTATGTAAAAGTAAACAGACAGTGTTTAGTTTTGCACACACTAGCAGAGGAAACTGGTTACTCTCTTTATATGCGTAAATTTAAACGAAAATTGTTTAGAGGAAATTTTAAACAATTTATGTGTAAACTGTGAAATTGTGATTAATAAATGTTTAGAACTCAAAAAACAAATTTGAATATGATAAGTAAAAATAAGCAAGCAGTGTTAAATTAAATAACACGGTGTGTAAATTTGCATTAATTAAGAGAGGAGACTGGTTACCTATCTTAATATGCGCAAATTTAAACACATTTTTTTTAGAGTGTACCTTATGTTATAACACTCTCAGTCCTCTTCGTACATATACACATATGTGTACAATGAGTTAAGAGAGCTCCATATGGAAAATTAACGAGAAATATTACGCTTTATCAAACCAATAAAAACATTTATCTATATCCAGACAGAAAATGAAATGAAAATGAAAATGAAAATGAAAAAGTGAATGACTATGTAAATTTTAGAAATACACTTAAATTCATTGAACGCACTCGCAGCAAGAAAATACGAAAAGGAAAAAGAGTCAAAATGTTATTGCAAATCTGCTGCTGACACTTATGATTTGAGAAATGTGTTGCCAGGACAAAGGTTTGCAAGCAATGCAGAGTGTGTAGGTTATTGCCATAGTAGCATGTAATGGCAAATTTAACAAGCAGAAACGAAATGAATAGAAGGGCATAAAACGACTGAGATTTTTTGTTTATTATAATTTAAAAGCTTAAGGGAATAAATGGAGTAGGAACAGAGGGTTTTAGCAGTATAGCTTCTAAGTTAAAATATGCTTTGCTGAACACGTTTTGTTGGTAAGAAGTGCGTGTAAATCATAAACAAACGATCTGAAATTAATAATAATAATATTTTGTCGCTTATACTTTCTAAAAGTGTTTGGCCGAGCCTCCCCTCCAATTTGTGGTGTGCATTTTGATGTTGTTACACAAATGGAGGGGCCTACAGTTTTACGCTGCCTCCGAACGGCAAATGGATTTTATGAGAAACCTTTTCATGACATTAAATCTGTAAATAAATTTCAGGTGTTTAAAAACTATCACACGACCTGAGTATTTTATATAAGTAACAACCCTTTCCTTTGTATGTGACAGCCACTGAATTCACCAGTCTTACTTGCTATACCACACTATTTATACACAATTCCGGAATCTCATGCGCCACTCAATGAAATTCGAAAATATTTACAAAGGAAAAATACTCCGGGGCCTACCCCATTAGAACTTGAAGGGAGATCTCCCTATGTGAGGAATAAAAGAGTACTCCCCTTAACCTTATTTCTGAGCAATAAGAGAGATTTGTCGGTTTTGTACTCCTTTATTACTCGTTTAGGAGTCAAATAAGAGATCTCCTAAGCGAGCGACGAAATATTGCTCCCTGAGGCATGATTTCGGAGCAGTAAACGAGATTTCTCGGTTTTGTACTCCTGTATTGCTCGCTTAGGAGCTTAATGAGAGATCTCCTAAGCGAGCAATTAAAGAATGCTCCCTGAGGCATGATTTGGGAGCAATAAGCGAGATTTGTCGGTTTTGTACTCCGTTATTACTCGTTTAGGAGCAAAAAGTGATGTCTCCTAAGCGATAAATCCAAGAGTATTCTTTTTGATTGATAGGAGAGCAATACGCACCTCGCCCAAAAGAAATTTGTGTTTTCGAAAAAATTTATCATACAAAAAAAAACAACAGAAAATATTTCTTATAGAAGCATAAGGAGCACACAATAATTTAATTTGGATAGCACACAGATTTTAATAAAAGTCCGTTGGTATGCACTTCAATTTTTGTTTAAATATATTAAGTATGTATTGTATTACTTGTAAATGCACCCTTAAATACTTTTCAGATTGCGCAAATTAGTGTCAGCATTTAAGTGTGACCCCCGGCTTTAAACATCGCATGGGTGACAAAGATGTCAGATAAGCAAAGTCACCTTCACAATTTCCCCGCTTGGTGGATTCCTGAACTGGCAAGCATCCTTGACACCCAGGAAATCATATAGGAGTACATACTTATATGTGCATATAGGTGCATATAATTCAAATCTTATCTTACCGTTTTGTTATTATTATGTTTTAATTTCATATGATTTCTCTGCAATATATTTCTAAAATTAAGCAATTATGTAAGACGTATCATTTATGCTTTATTTTTAAGATCTTGTAATATTGCACAAATGCATGTGATTAAAAAGTTAAATAAAAAAATTTAATAAATAGCAAAATCCATTTGGCTAATGTAAAATATTCGTTATCATTGCTCTCTTATTACTCCTACAGGAGGTTTTCGGGATGTCTCTAATGGGAGCGCTCTTTTATTGCTCGTTCGGGAGGAATCTGGGATGTTCTCTATGTGCACTCCCTTGTTGTCTTTTTGGGAGGTTTCTGGGAGGTAACTATGGGAGTACTCCCGTATTGCTCTATTAGGAGGTTTGTGGGATGATAATTCTGTGTGTGCTCCCCGATTGCTCGTTTAGGAGGTAAAAGGGATTACTCCCCCTCCTAGGACATCCAATGTTAAAGGGAGTATACAAAATTACATGCTTATACACAGAAGCATAGGGAGCAATGGGGAGTATTCGTATACTCCCAAGGGAGTACTCACCGAGCAATCGTACGATGCTCCCAAGTTCTACTGGGACATTACTTACATATGTACACACATTCACACATTCTCGCCTTCGCCCACTTCCTACGAGCTGACACACGGCGTATACGTAACTTGAGCGCTAATTAAGACAATTCTACCACAGCCACAACAATAGCAGCAGCAACACTTTGCGGTGTACTTTTTATTAATTAACCATAAATATTATAAAACAACAGTATTTTGCACGACAACAACTCGAATATTAACAACACGGACAATGTTGTTGTAGGCTGTTGAACAAGTGAAAAAAAATGCCAAGTGTCCGCATGCCGCTGCGTATACGCAACATAGTCATCGCTTGTAGCTGGCGAGCACTTGATATGCTTCCGCATGTGGATATGTGCAAATGAGTGTGGTAAATGCCAAAAGAGCACATATTTTATGCATAATTACCAGCGACACATTTGTATGCACTTGTACATACATACATACTAGCTATATTTTCATACACGCATATGCAAAAAGAGCAAAAAGAGCGCAGGAAATATACAAAAGTAAAGAAATGATAAATGCTGCTGGTTTGCATGACCTTACGGTTAGTTTGCGCTCACTCGCCGATTTCATGAGCATGCAATTTGAGTAAAAGCGCGTGACTAATGGGGCAAGAAAGTGGCGTTCAAAAGCGTATATGTATAACTATTAATATTGCAAATTATTTATAGTATATATATGTATATACATTAGGGTGGTCCAAAAAAATTTAAGTCGAAATTGTAATGCTTTCACCCCCTAGAATTGTTCTATATCGAAAAAAAGTATACACCTATTTTTTTCAAAATTTAGAGGTCGCTCAAAGCGCTCAAAGTTTTCCATGTATTTTTATATGGCAAAAAAAAACAATTTTTCGTAGTAATGGAATTCTTTAAAATCAATATTTTTCGGAAGATCCTGGTTCCCTTCACGAGACTTTCAATAATAATAGCCAATTGTTTATTTAACCATTTTTTTATACTAACGATTTTTTATTGTTCCCCCCTTTTGCATTTTTCGGGATTTTTGTAGGTTTTTGGCGGACATATAAATTATATTTAGTTGCGATGAAAAAATTGTTAACTAAACAATTGGGTATTATTACTGGGAATCTCCTGCAGATAAACAGAGTTTTCCGAGAGAAAAATTTTGATTTTTAAGAATTCTATACCATTTCTACGAAATTTTTTTTTTATTTTTTTTTTTGAAAGACTTTGGTCGCTAAATATTTTTTGATTTCAATATAAAAAATTAGGGTATATTTTTTCCGTATAGAACAATCCTAGGGTGCGAGAGCATACAAGTTCCGACTTTACTTTTTCACATGCAATTTTGGACCACCCTAATATACATATATGCTTATTAAAGCGCCAAAATAGTCATAAACACATACATTCTACATACGGAAACTATTGGAAAATGTAAGGACAGTGCTGTAGCTGACGTTTTACGCTTACTTTTTCATAATATTACTTTTTTTTAAATTTTTACTTTTCAACACAAAATAATGTCAGTATGAAAGAATTAAAAACTTAAATATCTGCCTTTTTAAGCATACAGAGGTGGAAAAATAAACAGGGACACGACATTTTAAAAAATTCTTCCTGTTTTTCTTTTGTTTATTTAATATTCATTATTTTTTTAAAATCATAGCTCACTATCTAACAAAAACCATATAAATTCATATTTCAAACTTTGTGCAAAAATTATAAAAATTCTGCAAAAATGCGTCTAAATTTTCAAAAAATTTTAATCAGATTTTTTAGATTTTTTTGAGTGGGCAGTTCTATAGCCCATTCAATTTTAATATAATAAAGTGCAGGTTTGAAGATTCTAAAAACTTTAGGCGCACGCCACAAATATTTTTTTTAATTCATTAAAATTTTAAATATGGTGGCACAGTCATAGAACATAAATTGTACATGTATTCTAAACCAAGCAATTGCATACACACAAATTATTTACTTTCCAGCCGCATCAATCTTTTCTAGCTCCTTCAATATTTTTTAATTAATGAGTCTACGAAAAGCAATTATTTAAAAATGTGCCAGTTGTGTACAAAAACAAAAAAAGAACAAATAACAACATAAGCCAGTTTAATTATTGTAAATTGAAAGACATTGCGGCTGACTACGAAATGTAATAAATAATGCGGAAGAAAATTGCCGAACGACACTCAGAAAACCAATTTATTATTTGGCGTTAGAAATTTCCAGTCGCGACAAAAAGTTTTAATTTGCAAATTTTCACTAAATGTAAAACAATGGCACTATGTTTCGTCAAATTAGAAAAAAAATTGCATCAAAATGTTGAATATAAAATTTGTGCTACTTACAATGTTTTCAAAGAATTTCCAGCAGGGAATAGATTTTCGGCCAAGCTAGAGATTTTATTTTCATCCAAATAGCTGGAAAGAGGAACGATAGGATAATCAAATAGCAGTGAAATTCTACGGAATTAAAATGTACAAATTTATAATAAATACAAAATTTATAAAAAAGGAAATAATCGTACATATGTTATTTTTTTTTAATTTCACAAAACTCTAAAATCTACAAATGCAAAAAAAAGATAAAAGAATCATATGAAAGTTGAAAAATTTGTTTTTAGTTTGTTGGGTAATTTTTTTAACATAAGAAAAAAAATAAAAAAAATTTTAAATTACAAAAAATACTGGTATTTCACGTTTATTTTTTATTTATTTTGTTTTGCTAAGAATTCCGTTTGTTAAAACAATATTATGACATTTCAAAGCTCCTTTTGAGCATTTCGTTTTCAAAATAAAAGATGAATAGGTACCCAGTAATAACATATAATATATTTAAATACACTTACAGGGTTTTTAACGGTATCTCCGATAGTCTTCTGAAGGCAGACGATGCCAAGCGATCGATGGAGCAAAATTTTAAGACCCTGAAGAAAGAAAAATAAAAAGGTGAAGGCAATTAAAAACGATGGAAACATTAATTTTAATATTTCAAATACGTATGTCAATATTATATATATAATGCAAGCAAAAAGATATTTATAATTTTAAAAATATATTTTTTTTGTAAAAAATTCCAAATGATGAAATTATAAAAAAAAAATATTTAAAAAAATTTATTTTTATAGCGTAATGACAACATCTTTTAAAAATAAGATTTCCGTAAAAAAAACAGCTGCAGGAGCTTTAAAATTCTTTAAAAAGAATTGGATGCAGGAATTTTAAAATAACTCTACAAAAAATTGGATGCCAAAATTTGTTTAATCTTTTTGTCGGTTGGAGTGATGTATGCCTTTAATAAGGTGGCACCAGTAAAGTACTTAAAAATATTAACATTTATGTATATATATAAATAACAAATTTAGAAATTTCAAAATTTGCACTTAAAAATATCTAGGAATATTTAAAAAATATTCATGTAGAATATAGTTACATATTTAGACGCCGTTTGCCATTTACTTTTCATTTCACTGACAACAAAGCAAGTGGATTCAAATCACAAAAATGTATAAGAATGTGAAAGTGGGAGCATCAAATATGTGACTTGGAACCGTGTATCATTAAAAAAATTTTGGAAAAAAAATTTTGCAGTGCACTCGATATAGCATAACAAATAATATCAACTATCTTAATTTCACAATTAAAAAAAATTAAAACCAAAATTTAGAGAATAATGGAAAGTCATAAAAAACTAAAAAAAAAAAATCAAGAAATTTCGAAAAACATAATTTAATATGTACGAATTTTAAATTTTTTTTTTAGAAATCCGATAACCAGCAACATATAAATCCACATTTCAAACTTCGTAGAAAATATGTAAAATTAAACACCCAACAATTTTAAAGTTTTTATTAAAAATTTTTAGAAAAATTTTCGGTATGCAGTTTTATAGCCCAGAAAATCGCGTTGATTTTTAATAATTTTTTTTGCAGACAGTATTGAACATTTTCTCCCAGATAAAGTATGCTCGACAATTACTTTTATATGGAAGAAAATGCCTAGCAACGTCAGCAAAAAAATTATTAAAAATCAAAGCGATTTTTTAGGGTTTTAAAATTTTTACTTTAACCTACTAAAATCTAATGGATAGTCCGTAAATTTTTCTAAAAATTTCTAATAAAAAGTTTAAAATTTTTTGGTGCAATTGTTAAAGTTTGTGAATTTTTATAATTTCTGTAAGAAGTTCGAAATGTGGTTATGTAACATGCTAGGCTTTTATTAAAAATTAAAAACATTAGATAAACAAACGAAAAATAACTAAAACTGGTCAAAAAGTCAACTTAACCTAACCATACATACGCTTTTACATGCATACATATATATGTAAGTATGTAGCTCTTAGTATTTATTAGTAGAATTTCTGCCCTTTGCCCATTTGTAACTACGAAAGTGCTCATAAAATTCATTTCTCCATTAATCCTTTGTAACTTTACGACCACAAATTCTCCACTGCCTTTGATCCCTTGCCAAAGTAAGTATTCGAGCTATACTACATAATATTTTTTACCATTTTATTAAAAAATTCGCCACACACATTTACACTATCGCAAGGACAAGGACATTTTTCAGAATTTAATTTTAAATTTCTACGCTCGAGGACATACTTAGCATATTTGCCAATGGTTTTCAACAACATACCAACAACGCATTAGCATACGAGTATAATAAAATCAAAAAGCCCCCTTGTAAACGAATATATTAAGTAAAGTGCACAATTTTATTTTAAATATTTTTATATTACATAGTCGTCTATGTAGCTATATACATATGTACATACAGAAGTGTGTGAACCTACGCATGAACGACTGATTTTTCACATGTGTACCCTATTCACTTACATAACTTTGTTTGGGTTGTAAGCTTTGTCTGACAGAAATGCATAATAAGTGTTTGCAATTAAAACTAATTTTAATTTTCATTTTAAAGTTGGGCGGACATAGAAACACACAGGCGATTGAAGTTTGAAAATTTCTAGCACGAACGACATAAATAGTTAAATAAAAGGAAATTTAGTTAATTAAAACCAGGAAAAAGTGGTGCTGGCACAAAAGTAAAAGTTAGCTGGCGGAATAAGTGCCGGAGTCGGTAAAGGGATTTACTCCTTTTTTTCTATTTTCTCAACTTAAATTCCTTTGAAGCAGAAATAATTGGTTTAAGCTCTGACTCTGATAGCGTACAGCCACTGCGAAATAGCAGAGCAAAAATTTGTAGAAGAGGTGGCTGGAAGAGACTTTGCTCTGAGCTGGTTCACAGGAGCTCCGTACGCTTCCTAAGCCACAGGATGATTAAGTGGAATCACTTCACCACTTTCTTCTTATCTGCTGGTCCTTATAACGAACCCCGAGAAACTCGCCGTCTCAGTGGTTACCATTCAAAATCAATCGGTATGACAAAGGACAACCTCTATAATGTCCAAGCGTGTCTGCGACTGCGGTTGACCACCATATTATAGTATAAGATAACCTAACTCAGTCAAAGGCTGCTATATTGGAGATATGATCCCTCACAAAGCCAAAGATCATTTTCTGTATAAGCCAAGATATTTTCAGAGGTAGAGTTGATTGGATGCTGGAACCACTTTTAACAGTTTCCGGCTGATGAACTGGCCAGAGGCGGCACCCTCTCTTGCAAAGATGGGCCTCGTGTCAACTCAGCGAGCGTTGGAGTAAAACCAGGACATGTGCTACGGTTAGGTCTTTCTGGTCGAGGGCGGACTGGGGTGGTTTAGGGTTCTCCTTAGGCTCGCGAACCCAGATCTCGCGATCCTAGTTCAGAAAGGCCATTGTCCTTTCGGGGTTCATGCAGTGAGATTAAATATCTTTCCGAACCTCTTTTGTCGCAGCTGTATGGAGGACAACAAGGTGGAATCATCTCAGCTTTTCCTACTAGACTGTCCAGCTTTTGCTAGATTGCGTCTTAGGTTCATACTTTCTCACAAGTCCGGAGGAGCTCTGCAGGACTAATATAACTATGTTATTTGTCGCGCCTGCTATTCTTTTAGAGATTTTTGGGTATCAAAATAAGGCAACGAAAATTTTCCGCATAGGATTCAGTACCTCGAAAAATTTGTAAGAATTGTCTATTCTCGGGCGTTGGAAACAATTCTTGTGATTATGTATTACACTGAGAGGAAAAAACTATTAACATCAAAATTTTACTGAAATTTGAATAAGCTTTGAAACTTTTCTTTATGTGGTATCTGATATATACCGACCCATATTTTAAATGAAAATTATTAACAATAAATAAATAAAGATAAGTTGCCGATAGCATAATTTTGAATTTTGCTGCTATTATTTTGAACGCCACTAGTATGTGTATATGTACATTTCTGAATGTTAACTTTAGCTTTTTGTTCATTAAATAACATTAACAATATTTGTACATTTATTTCTTTTGCATACTTACAGGCTCTCCACCATTGGCAACTGCGCGATAAAATGCTCATCGATGTAGGGAAAATTATTTCCGGTCAAATCGCTGTAATGGAAAACACCAAGCAAAAAAATAATAAAATATTAATGATTAAGCATAATTACGTATGACAGTGAATGTGTTAATTAATTTTTAAATTAATAAAAGCAAGGTAGTGGTAAAATGTAATGTGACAGGCGTGCAGGTAATGAACCATTTTTGTACAACACATTGTAAAAATAACAATGCAGAAAGCGTTTTGCATGAGCGCGCAGCACTTAGCAGCCGGGTTGACAGCAATCGAAAGTTTTAAAAGTAATTTATTAAATAACAGATGTACTATTTTTTTTGCACTCCATACAGACATTCTTTGAATATGGCAACTTTTTTTATAGGCGAGGGAATTGTTACTTTGCTTGACAACAGGCAGTAATGATGATGAAGATTGATAGGGCAAATGTTACTAACACTACCCAATATGCACAAAGCAAACATTTTTCCTACTTTTTTCAATTTTTGAGAAATTTTTGATTCTCAAAAGGAGCTCTAAAACTTTTCTCCAAAAATTTTTCCAAGGTTTGACTAAAACTTAAGACAGTTTGAAGTCAAATTGATATTCAAGCTTTCCTCAAGTGGAGAACTCAGATTATTTTCCATACAAAAAATGTGCCCTTTTGTTAGAGAATGGGTTGGTTCTCCTGGTACACTGGAAAATCTCCACTTGATCTCCAACCCAAATGTTTATTGGGTAACATGAGCAATTAGTGTATGAGTATTGTATGTGCGTATGTATGTATATGCGTCTGTGTATCTATGTTTCTCCAATTCATACTTACAGCATCGTCAATTCTATGGTCGGCAAATTGGGCGGTATTGCCGTTAGCTGTTGGAAGCGACATAAAATTTCATCACCACGACAAAGGCAGCTAAAATTGCTTGGGTACAGCCAATCTGCGGAAGAAATGGAAAACAATTGAGGGCGAAATTACTTACAGAAATAACACGCGAAACCATACAAAGGCACAATAAATATTTAACGAAAAAGTAGCCCAGTAGATGAATACGCTACCAATTAGCGGCGTGAAACGTGTTTGCCATTAGTAAATCAAGCGGAATTGAGTTCACAATAAATGATAATAAATAGCAACTAAAACCTAAAACAAAAAAAAACATAGAAAAAATTGTTGCGCAGAAATTAATAAACAAACGCTAAGCGCCAGCGGCGCGTTGTCTTTTCACTTCGGCATTTGTTTGGGGGTAGTGCGCAACAATTAGCGACAACAATTGTTAATTTAACTGACACTCAAAGCAAAGAGGCAGACACACACACACACACATGTCCACAAAAACAATATCTTACACTTCCATACATATACGCGTACTATTCTCATTCACTCACTTACCGCACGTCTCCACTGGCACATCATCATGCCGTCCATAGGGCTGCTTGCGAAAGAAGTGATCCCAAAATTTCGCATCCACATCATTGACGCAATTCCACTCATCCGAGGCATCATCACAATCCGCCTTTTCGTCACAGTTCAGCCGCTGTGGCACACACTGCGCTGATGTGTTGCAATGAAAGTAACCTATTGGGCAATTGTCCAATGCATCGGGTGTTATAATCATATCCGGCGCAAATTCAATGGGCGGCATAATGGCGGCGGCTATACTGGCGCTTGCTGCTGTTGTTGTCGTTGTTGTTATGGTTGTGGTGGCGGCAGAGTGTGTGAGTGGTAGGAATGTGTTAGCGGGCGCGGGCAGCAGAAAAACTGTGGTGAGAAATGAGAAGGAAATTAAATGGGCCATAGCAGAGACAACGAGAAGAAGTAATAGAAAAACAAATTAAAATTATAATAACAAAATATCTGAAGTGGTTGAGGCAAGCTTGTTACGCATATGATTCAAGCTCATTTGAAATTTTAAGCGCTATATCTGTTCCCGTTTACGCTGTACTCACCACACAATTCTTTTTCTTTTTTGTTGCAAGCAAAATGCTTTGCAAGTGTTTTCTTTTATTTTGCATGCCTACGAAACTGCTTCTATTTTAACTGTTCCCACTTGATCTGTTCTCTATTTTTTAACTCGTTTTTTTTATAACTAACTTTATACTAAGATTAATTAAGTTTGATTTTACTACGGTTTTCACTTTATATTCCCTCATTTTAACTGTTCTCACTTTTCTTTTCTTGTGATTTGCTTCTTTTATTTTCTTGACATTCGCACACAAGTGTTCCTAGTGAAAGTGCTTTAATTTAAACTTTTCCCAGCATTCAGTTTTCACCATTATACAGTTTTGTTGAAAGTAGATTCAAATAAAAGTGTTCCCATCCAAACTTTAAACTGTTCTCAATGTTTTTTTTTCTATCTCTTTTCAATTCTTACGCCCAGTTTCCACCCTCAAAACTGTAGTCTTGCTGTAGCACTGATCGATTTTCGCAACTTCCAAAAACCCTCTGACTAGGAAAAAAAATTTAAAAAAAAACGAGGAGATACTGCAGCAATACGACCATCCAAGCAATTGAATTCATCTCACTCGAATGTGACACATTTCAGGGCAGCAAAATTGGTTATTTTTGGCTCGAAATAAAACCATCAACTTGCCGCTGTCATTCCCCATTACCAACACTTTCCTTCGTACGCTTTCCACCTACACGTGCCAACAAATATCCATAATTTGAGCAAGGGAGCAAACAGTGTTGACAAATGTTGGCGCCCGCCTATCAAGCAACCACACACTCTACAACGTCACACTTGGCCAAGTGAGCGCAAGGATGAGCCAGGCAAACAGACATACGCTCGCCCACTACAGCAATTCTTTTAAAGTAATTTCCTTTAATATGGAGTGTAATGCTTTCTTCTTGGAACACATTTAATATTTCAATAGCACCCAATAGTTATTGTTGCAATAATGTAGAGTACAAACTTGGCTATGGACATACAATCATTTATTTAGTATTTTTTTGCGTTTGCGTTTGCGTTTGCACTTTCACCCACATGGCAATGCATTTTGAGTGCAATGACGTCGTGTCTAAAGCTTAGCCATTACTTTATTGCTACTTTAAGCGGGTAAATGTAGAGGACATTGGCTACCAGCTAGAGTTGAATTACCAGCTCCCTGTTACTGCTGTTGGTGATTTTTCATTTTTTTCCCCCCTTTTCCTAGCTACTCAGTTATGCATTACTCGGCATTAGACAACTCGTGCGTCCGTCCTCAGCACGTGTAATGCTTTCCATTTGGCATTTTTTATTGCTCTTATTATGGATTTTCTTTCAATAAAGCCATCCCTTTCGGTTGGCTAAGTATTCACTTGCGGTTTCCCTACGATGACAACGCAGCGCCTCAAGTGCTCCTTCTGAGGCCGCCGTTTGCTCGTACCTCCTTCCTTGGCATGTCCTCGCCTTTTATCGCCTTCAGCTGCTGCTTTATTGCTACACCACTCACCGCTTTGTATAATCGTGAAATATACCCTCTTCTTCCCACCCCTTCTGACCATCTTCAGCTCTAGTTACCTCGCCATCGTTCACTACTCACACTTTTATATCGTTTTTACAGTTATCCACGCTTTATTTACTTTTCCCGGATCGTTAACATTCCATACCATAGATCTATCTTTTTTTTTGTCTACTTGCGGCTATTCTTATCTGCGCCGTTTCCAATTGTTTGCGTACTTCTTTTTAGTTTTCTGTTTTTTTTTTCCTTTCTTTGGCCTACCCACATTCTCCACACTTCCGACAAGCGTCTTCCATCACTTTGCTTTCCGCATGTCTGACCAAGGTCATGCTGTCTGCTTGTCTGCTTTTAATTTCAGCACTTCGCCAGCCATGCTTTTTCTTTATTTTGCCATAAAAATTTGTTATCGTAACGACATGGCCGGCCATAAACATGTGTAAGTATGAGAAATTTGTGCACATTCCTTCATACATAAATATAAATTTATGCAGGTGAGCTCGTAAAAGCATCAGTGATTTTAATGACTTTTCGTTGCTGTAAGATTTTTGAGGCTTCGAAAATGAATTAAGGCGAATTTTGCAAATAAAGACGGCGTAGAAAATTTCTCCTTTTAGCAAATTGGAAGGAAAGGCATGGTGACTAAGAAGAAAAGATTTTACATAGTAACACTGGGTGTAGGCAAAAATTTTCCAGATTGTTGTCCACTTCCAAAGAGCAAACCTTATTTAAAAACCTCCGGCCTGTACTTTTAACTGAAGCTAAAAATTTAACGGAAAGTTCAAGGGGGTAAATCATGAACGAGTTTTCCCTGCTGAAATGAGCCTTCGATTCGATACCACTGAGCGGTCAACATCAGTTGATGAAGCTCTTCAGTCTTGTCACAAACCGGTAGTGCTCCCTAAGGTATGCAGCATACGATTTTTAAACTGCCTTCCCTTTTCCGCCTACTCAGCATTGGCTTGTAATTCTCAGCTTGATTATAAAATACTTTTTAAGGCGCAATCAGCTGTTGTCCAAAAATCCTGGTCATTAAAATCCAAAGAGGAGTAGATGAAAGGGGACACTTATGACTTCTCCAGTGATTATTCCGAACTACGCATTTCGATTAGAAAACTAAATACTGACTGAAAGTTTACTACCAAGCCAACAGAGCACAATTAATTACTCTAGGCTTCTCTCATATTACCTCACGCTTTCCGACACTCAATTAAGTCACTTCTCCCCAATAACGGCCATACCCGGCCCTTTGGTTATTCTGACGAGAAAAAATTGCCTATAGAGACCGTATAAAAAAGCTTAAAGGCTTGAAAAAAAAACGTTAGAAGTTTAAATCTGCCTCCAAACTGTTTTTCAGTAGCTATTTCCTTTCCATGAATGGCATATCATTTTCTCTCTAAGCCGATAGCTTGGCTTCGAATATGATTTAACCCTAAATATTCTTCTGATCTTCTTAAAAATGGAGATCTTTTTAGGAAAACTAAAGTGCACAGTAAATCCATAGTTCGCGTGCTTCACATTAGTACGGCTACCTTTCAATCTTTTTAAATATTCTAACGGAATTTTGGCTAATATACCGTAAGCGCTCTCTTTCTCTGTCTCTCAGAGTTGGCCAAATTATAAGCCGGCACGCTTGACTTTTTTTTTATACCCCTAATACGAACAATGAGCTTTTGCTCTTTACACGTCAATATAAAACCTATACAACCCATAGAAAGCTTTAAAAAGCTACATTCGGGGCTTTGATTCAATCAGTACTGTTTATAAGGGTTATGGTCGCCGCCTTGGCCATATGCAGAGCTTATTTGAGCTTTATATATGCTTTTTATATGGAGAAAATTACTAAAGCTCTGTGAAGATTTAACAAGAGTTCGCGCGAGATAAAAACGGTATCTGATCGTCGCTGCTTTGTATGAGTTACAACGCCGCAACGTAAAGGCAGAGGATAAAAGCTCTAACTGATCAACTCTGCGCTAATCTCTTTCACCCTCACACCCTCTTTCTCCTTGTCTTTGTCTCTCTCCATCTTTCGTGCATTTTTCTGTCTCTCTCCAACTCTTTTTTCATCAATACTAGATTTCCTACCGACCTCAGTAAATAAAACCATTTTCAAGTTCGCTCGCTCGTTTCAAAATTTTAATCTTTTAAACAAGTAAACGCGTGGCGCAGTAAAAATTCAATTAATAAATTTTCAGTTCGTTGGTATGTATGAGTATGTACTTACAAAAAAAAAAACAAATATAGCAAAACGTAAATTTTGTTGTGCCATTAAGTAAATTAATCAAAAGTCAATGGCAAGACCGATCAACAGTGGCGGCATTTAAGAGCCTGAAATTCGCAAACTCAATTTACGGTCACTGGAGGCAGAAAGCTTCCTTATTGTGAGCCAACAACATACACTCACACACAGCTCAAATGAGCGACACAGAATACACGAAAAAAATTAACTTGGGCAAATATATCGAATTTTATGATCTGTAAATAATTTGCCGATTTTGTTGTGCTTATTTTTTGTTTTTCTTTTTAGTATGGCTGATAAACAGAAATGTTCATGCTACTGCTGTCAATATATGTACAACAAATATAATGAAAGAGTTGACAGCAACTGTCAGCACGTTGCATTGCAATTGGCGGTGCTGGCGCACAGGGTCATTAAGACCCAGCAAAATAAATAAATAAAAATCGTGAAAATCAGAAAATGTAAGTGTATATTTTTGCTAGCTTCTCAGTAGAAAACTAACGGTTAATTGCTTGTTTTCCTATCAAGGAAAATAATGTTGTTTTATGCATCAAAAATGGAAGAAATTTGTCTCATCAGTTTCCACCTCCTTGTGCCTTGCATTGTCCACTGTTGTTAATTTGAATTTGTTATTTATTTACCTTATTTCTTTTTTCATGCACTTCCTTATTTTTTTCAGCTGCTCGACCCGTTCCATCGGCTAATTAAATTTATGTTAATCGAATTTTTCTGTGCGCATTGTAATGCGAAAATATGAGAATTATTCGCAGTTCATAAATTTTGCAATGGATTTTCGAAGGCTTACTTGCATACAATGCAGTCATTGCAATAAAATTTTTGTATTAAAAGTAAAAGCATAAATTACTTTATTACTGAGCAAAAATAAAAAATGTTAACGATTATTACTTTTACAAAGGCTAAATATTAAAAAAAAAACAATAAAATAAGACTGAGCATATAAGCATTTATCTTATACCCCTTTTACAGATAAACTATGCTTCAATAAGTTTAAAATAAAGCGAAAAAATTCAAATCAAAACTGACACTAATACAAATGCTATACATACACATCAGAAGGACATTCCCCAAATGTATGATTTAATATTAACACTGAATTAAATAAGCGTGATAAGCAGCAGTTGAGGAATAAGATTTATATATATTAATAGAGCAATTCTGGCAACTCACCACAGTCTTTCGTAAGACGATTGTCAAATCTGGCAAGTATTTTACAAGCTCTAAGCTGTGCGCCTTCAGAAATACGTTTTTTAAAAATTGAATTAAATTAAAAGAACAATAAAAACAAATAAATAAAAGACAGTTATATTAAAAATTAAAAATTAAATGAAAATAAAGCAAAAGTAAATTAAAATATTTTTAAAAATTAAATTAAATAAAAAAATGTCTTCTTAAAACAATAGAATTCTCATATTAAAGAAAAGGAAACAATTTTATTAAAAAATAAAAAGTAGTACTTATAATTAAATAAAATGAAAAATAAAAATAAAAATAAATATTTTTATTTTTAAAACAATAAAATCCAAAAGAAATGAAATTAGCAAAAGAAAACATATTAGATTAAAGAAATATAAATACAATAAGTTTGTAAAAATTAATTAAATTAAAAAAAATTCTTTTTTAACAATAATATCTTAAATTAAAGAAAATTCAGAGAAAAAATATTTAAAAAAGAAAACATAAAATAAGTTCTTTAAAATATTCTTCTTTTTAAACCAATAACATCTAAACATTAAAATAAAACAAAGAAAGAAAAAAATGTAATTCAAAAATCAAAATATACATAAAACCAGTTTCAAAAAATTAAGAGACAATCACATTAAAAACGAGAAAAAAGTAAATTCAAAAAATCCCCTTTCCGAGGACTCGTACTCGGTTAATTCACATGTCACGCATGAGCTTTTCTCACTCGGCCACTGCGACTATACAAGTGCTTTCTCTCAAAATAACTTTTCACCAGGAGTGATGAATGAGAGAGCTTTTTTATAAGACTTTTGTGCTAACTAGAATAACAAAAGTCTTTCGAGCTATCGTGTCATCTGTCTTTCATTTGAGATATGTTATGGTACGATATGTTCAACGCATTTCACCTCAACTCACCACAGCTCTCATCCAACCTCACATCAACTCCTCTCAGTTCACCTTAACACACCTTACCATAACTCACCTCCTTTCCTGCCAACTCAATATTTCTGGAAACCCTACCATTTCTAACAATTTCCAATAATTCTAAGACATACATATTTGCTTACTAAGTAGAGGTGGAAAAGCATAAAAAAACGGCAAAACTATTAGTATAACGATTTCCTACGCATACAAACAATTAGTTCATACGCCGCATGCGAATTGCAGCCATCTTCAAAGTGGCGAATAGCTTAAGCTGCATACTTTTAGGCCAACTTTTTGCTAATTTATCAAATGAACAAATGCAGCACAATACAATTAAATGGACTTTTTTAATTTCTGAATTGCTTCCTTGTCTATTTAAATACCGCACGCAGACAAAGGTCTACCAACAATTGTCAATCTCCTTGCAACTTCTGGCTGTATTTATCCAAATTTCAGTGGTTTTATTGCAACCAAACATTGGACTTATTCCAATAAGCTGAAAACCAATGCGTAGCCATGAACTTTAAAGCGAAACTTCACAGAAATTTGTGATATTTATTGAGGTTGTATTTTGTTTCACAAGAAATTAGATTGCCGTTAGCACCGAAAAATCAAAAAAAAATTAAAATAACTGCATGCAAATTTCTATTCAGATAAATATCTACCTTCTTCATTTGAATATATGTTAGTAGGTGTCTTAAAATGGGAAATATGTCAGCTGAAAAATCTAAAGGCTACCCTCAATCTTTTACACGTGTGTAACGCTGGCGCTTGTAACCTGCAAAATCATTTTAAAATCCGTGAAATGTTCACGAAAAAGTTGTTAAAATGCTAATAGAAATGCTATTCTAAATGTGTTTGCATGTAAGAGATGTGCAAATATGTACTTAAGGGGTGGCATGCAAATGATGGCGGCAGTGAGCTCCAAATTTATTCTGAACTTACTAATTAAAATTTCAACGAGAATTCGTAGAAAAATCTAGTTAGCTTAAGTTGGCTTACAATTAAATATGAGCTAACTGTTGCTTCGTTAATATTTTTTGGCTGCAGCCATTTCGAGCCGAATAAAAACAATTATCAAAAAAAATTATAAACATTTTTGAGATATTGCTGTTCAATGCTATTGGAAATCTGTTTTTCTAAAACATTTTTATTTCTTACTTCTTACTAAACATTTTATACAATTTTCGGAAAATTTAAAGAAAAAATTAATTTGCAAAACTCGAACGTAGTTTTAATACAAACTATGACATTACATAACAGGGATATAACGATGCTTAATTTTGACGATAATTTTAGTTTAAATTTTGCCATGAGTGACATTTATTAATTAGTTTTTACTTAGTCATTTTTTTATGCCCTATGTATTTTTGTAGTTTTTGCTTTGAATTACTTTCGAGTTTGATTTTTGTTTTTAAAATATGATTTTTCGAATTTTATTTTTTTTCTGTATTAATATAAAATTAAAAAAAAAAATCAAATCAGTTCTATAAAGATTGTTTGAATTTGCATTGGAACTACTTTTAGTATCTTAAAAAAATCTGAAGAGAGAATTTTGATATTCGGCTAAAAAATACAAAGTTTTTCTGCTTCAAAATGTTTATCGAAACTGCATGGACTTCTTAAAATTGGGATTGAAAACTGATATTGAAAAAATTGCAACATAAGCCAATTTTAGATTTTTAATAAGTTTAAGGCGTCTACTCAATTTTAAAAATAAAAAAAAATATTTAAGAGTAAATTTTATTCTTGCTTAGCGTATCGTAGATTTTGTTTTGTAATGAAATTTAAGATTTTTTTGCAAATAAACGTTAAAAAAACTTGTGGAATTCATTGTGAAATGAAAAGTTATTAACCAAACGAATGATGGTAAACTTTCATAAAAAGTTAAATAAAAGTGAATATGCAATTTCGAAAAGAGCGGAAATTTAAAGTATTTACGAAAAAAAAACGAATTATTTATACTAGAGTTGCGACTTTTTCAAAATTATTCGGTACTTTTCATGGCGTCAGCACTGGATCTGAAATAAAGATGTAGCCTTTTCGCGCTTAATAAATACAGAGGAGCACACACATAGATAACATTGATATGAAAAAATTGATTTATGAAATTATGCGAAATGTTCTTTTTTTTGAAATTGCATATAAAATTTTGGTTTTGGTTTGGATTATTTAAAAATGCTTAATTTCTTGTTTTTATGGAATTCATAAACAAAAGATTTAATTTTTCATATGGATCTTTTTTTGGTTTTTATCAAAACCAATCCTAGTTTTATGACTTCTTCTGTCATTGTACATAGCCATCCTAAAGTTTCGTTAACATTTTTTTTTTTTTTTAAGTTCACCCTAGTACTGTTTTCGAACTGTGGCCATAGCTGCATTAAAGCTTCAATTATTTTGTTAATTTTACTTCACTTACCAATCATCAGCGCCATGTAGACGGAGAAATTTGTTGTTTGACTGCCTACAGAAATTATTTTATAAGCCATAATTAGCCTCTTGGCAAGTCCTTGGGGTTACGTAAATTATAAGTGCTTCCTTAGTTCAACTTCACGCGATTCATTTTGAAAGAAGGGATGCTAGCCTTATAAGCTGAAAAGGTAAGAAAATTAAATCAATGGAAAAAATAGTTAACAGCGATTTTGAAGGCATAAAATTCAGAAATCAAGTGATACCAATAACCAATGCCAATAACTTCCGTGCAACTAAAAATCAATGTAAGTACTCCCAAAAGTGGTTAAATAAACCAAAAAACATTTCATTTCTTAAAATTTTTTTCGGGAAATTTTTGGTACCATTTTTGCCCCTCCACAACAGCACACCACTTAATGGAGAAGATTTCAATTTAGACAGCTCTATAATTATGACGCTTTGTAAACGCAAACACACACACACAAACAAAATTTCGGCCAAATATTTTCGAAATTGCGGCAAATACGCCCCTCTGTGTTTTATTACCCGCACTCCTCTGTAAATATTGTACAAACTACATTCTAAAATTATTTCCAGCACACCAACCTCTCCCCATTCCTGACACTAAGCAATTTTCACTTAATCAATTTCACGGCGTTTCGTTTATGCCGCCGCCAACATCGCAGAGTGCAGCCGCACGCAATCGCAATGAAAACAATTAAAACAAACGCATACGCCCCGTCAACCCGCGGCGGTAAAACACATAAATGTGCTCCCCCCAGCTAGATCGAAAGAAAACACCAAAAACAATGGCAACAACAACTGGACTAAGTAAATCGAGTAGCTAGCGAAATGGCGAATGAAAATAGAGGCGATTGTTTTGCTTAGTCACATTGAGAAGTGGGTGGCTTCTGCTGTTTCTGCCGAAACTGCGGTCGGCTACCGCGTCTGCCGACTGCCGCCTGCCTTGCTCATCTGCAAGATATCGCGTCTGTTGCTAGCAAATAATCCCATCAACGGCAGCGTTTTATAGACTACAGCTTGCTACAAAACACACATACGCACATGGAAATCTATGCTGCACCGCAAAGTATGCGCCCATTATTCTTTCAATACTGTGCTATTTTTGACCTTTTATAAAACATTTTTGTTTAGATAAATTTTTTGTGCTTCGCTATTTTAATTGTTGCTTTTTGTGTTAATTAAAACAAATCAAGAAATCATTAGGGGTATTCTCTGAGTCTTGCAAAGCCCTTGCATGGTGCACAGATTGCACGGATTGCACGGTAAAAACCGGTTTTCGTATGGGACAGCTTTGCAAACCGTGCAATCCGTGCACCGTGCAAGGGCTTTGCAAGACTCAGAGAATACCCCTATTGTGTTTGTTCTTAATGACTTTCTGCTGTTCTTATTTTTTTTTATTTACCTCTGTTTATCTGGATTTTGCGGATTTCCTTTTATTTGCTTTTTTCTTGATAATTATGCTTTTTTTATTGTTCTATTTAGTGCTTCATTCAAGTGCATAGATGATTAATTTTTTTTTTTTTCGCCGAATACAAAATACTAAAATTGTGATAATGTTGAAAGTAGAATTAAATCCGCTTTCCTTTTTCTTAGCTTCTTCATCCTATTTCTTGTTTTCCTTAAATTTATTATTTCGTCTATTAAGTTATGTTTCTTCTTCTTCCTGCACTATTTTTCTATTTTTCTCTTCATCCCCTCTTTTTCTTATTTTTATTCTTACTCTCTCCCCCTAACTCGTCCTCTTCCCGACTTGGTCATTCGTATTTTTTCGTTTTCCAATAAAAACATTTTCGTCAATTTTAGAAGGGGTGGACTAGTGGGTGGTCTAGTACTCCTTGTATATACATAGTTGATAGTTTGGTCCTATAAAAACTAATTAATAATAGAAAATAGTTAAATAAACAATTTGATATTATTATTGGAAGTCTCTTAAAGAGAAACGAAGTTTTCCAATCAAAAAATATTGATTTTCAAGAATTCTATACCATTTCTACGAAAACTTGTTTTTCCCATATAAAATACATGGAAAGCTTTGAGCGACCTCTAAATATGGTTTTATTTCAAAATAGAAAAAAAAAAACGGGGTAAATTTTTTTCGATATAGAACAATCCTAGGGGGTGAGAGCACTTTTCCCACATGCATTTTTGGACCACCCTAATGTACATCAAAAGAAACCAATTGAAACAACAAAATTTCAACAAGCTTTCATTACACTTTCAACAACATTCTTTTGTTCGCACACCACAAATATTGTCTTGAAACAAGCAATTTTTAAGCAAAAAAAACCGACTTCAACTTTCATATAAAAATTTAAGATTATTGTTAATTTCCAATGATCCAATGATCGGGTTTAAACCAAATTAGTATGGGACCACCTGTGAGGTACCACCTTTTCTTTAAAAAACGAATTATAGAAAACGGTTAACGTGGTCCAAAGTTATGCGGTAACATATGTATATAAAAAAATATTCCGATGAATTGATAAACTTCTCCTTTTTGTGAAGTCGGTTAATCAATCTAAATACATAATTAATTGACTATCTATGTATTCCCACTTCATGAATAAATACTACAAACGTAAAACAATCAGTCATTCGTCTACAATGACACGGCCGCCTACGAGCGTATCACTTATTTATTCGTACAAAAACCGTAGAGCCTGTTTTCTGAGCTTCAATGACCCTCATTTGCTTACACTAATATTTATCACTGTGTAACTGCTTTCTTTATTTGCCCATTTCTTTGATTGAATTATTCTCTTTGAAGATAATATTCATTGAATTTGGAAATATTTTAGCGCGTATAATTGATTGAATTATTTTGTGTATAATTCGAAGGAAATAAAAATAAATAAATTGATTGGCGTATATGGAGTGGAATAAGAATAAGAGTGCACAAGGATAGCAAAAACAAGTAAGAGCAGCACTGTCTTCGGCTATTCCGAAGGCTTCATACCTTTCATGAACATCAGAAAATTTTACTTTAACAGATTAGTGCATTTGAAAAAAATTATATACATATTCACAGTGTGCATAGATGAAGGAGTTACATTATATATATATTCGTCATTATTATATGTTCGTCAAGAACATTTACTGTAGAAAAATATTCGACGTTAATATTTAATTATTATTAAATAATAATATTATGACTTTTAAGTTAAGGCGTGCCTGCTGACTGTGTACGGTGCTACGGTGCATACATAACTACGTGTATATGAGCACGAGTTGGTATTAGGTGTATTCACGATCCGGTGCAAACTATCTTACATGGAGCATAGATAACGTAAGTAGCATAATTGACTAGTTTTGTTGTTGCTTCATGTGTTCAAACACCATAAAAATTAGCCAGTCATGCTATTTATGCTATCTATGCACCATGCCAGACAGCATGCACCGGATCGTGAATACCCCTATTTTTACTTTTTGAGTATATTTTTCTTAAGTTTTCATTTAAATACAATTTCGCAGTGGATCTTGTTCTTTATACAACACTGAAGATAATGCATTGCCTAAAAAAGTGTTCCATCACTTTCGACCAAAAACACGTTTTTGTCGAAAAATGTGAAAACTCATGAGATTTGCTCATATACTCGCACATGGCGTATGAGTAACATTTTCCAGGTTAAAATTTGATTTATTTCCATACGCAGAGCAAATTTAAAATGAAAATATCTTGGGGAAAATGGTATATATACAGATCTATCGTAATATACGAGCCAAAATTAAGTGTCCGTGCCTTGGCGATTTTTTGTGTCATTTTAGCGTCCCCTACAGTGTACAGTTAAGTTATTTTTATTTTTTGAAAAATTTACGTGATGAAATTTGTAAAACACATTTTTCGCAGCTTAGCACCTAATACCAACCCAAATTGCTAATTAGGTTTTTAAAGAGAAAACCATTGCAGGCCTGTGTAATTAGATATCGGAAGTTGCTCAAACATCTATTAATGCATACTTTTGGGTGCACTATTTCCACAGCGAACAACTAAGGTGTAAAAATTTGCTCATTATGAGAACAAATTAGTTTGCCAGAGTTCGGAGAAAATCTTCTATCCCGCTCCTCTTTTCTATTACATAAAGGTCATGCACCGTGACATCTAAACTAAAATGATGATACACTGATTGGACACTTATATTAATTGCAAAATCAAAACACACTCAACCACATAAATAAAACAAAATATGTATGTACGTTCAACTTGTTCTATGAACAAACCAGAAAGTAGGTAAAGCAAACATTCCCTAAAAACACCGAAATACCACACACACACATTCACAATATCTTAAGGGCTGTGACTACCATTCACTCGTCCTATTAGAGGCTTGCTGGTGCATATCCTTATCACAGTGGGATCAGTTACGGTTATTTGCTGTAGCACAGTGGCACATTAACACCCCAATTTCGTTCAAACCCAATCACATTTAATTACATTTACTGTCCACAGTGGCAAAAACCAATGGACAGCACGAAAAGCGGTAAGTCAAAGCGGAGAGAAGCGAGAAATCAAATTACATATATGTATGTATGTACATTAGGCATATGTCTTTTTTTCTGAAATTATTATGAGGAATTTTCATATGCATTACCGATAACGCATATATTTACTTTAATACATACCTATGGATATATACACATGGAAAATTCCTAATCAACGGAATAAAAAAAAAATTTAAACCACTTTTTGATCGCAGACATAATTTGTTTGCCTTGCATACATGAAGACATATCGCTAGTTTAGAGTGAAAAGTTGCTAAGTCCAGTTTTTTTTTCAAATTTTACAGGACAGAATAAAAACTTTTCAAACTCATTTTCTTCAAGCACGTGTTTTGCAAAAGTTTTAATGACACATATCAAATTCTTTTTTTATTCTTTATTTTCTGTGGCTAATTTTGGCTTAGCAAATTTGCATATCGCTGAATAGAAGCGGTTAGAAATAAAATATTTTTTCAGATCTTTGAGAAAACGATGCATTTTTCATTGTCATTGCTTTTTGCATCAAAATCCAATTTTTTATTTTTTTTTAAATAGTGGACTTAGCAACTTTTCACTCTAAGCTAGCGATATTTACATATGTATGTTTTCTTTTGTTTTTCAGTACTAAAATTTTTTATCGGTTATTTTTGTTTCGGTTTTCATCATTCCGCGTTTTCTCC